GTGATTGTAACATTCCTCGCTATGCCTTAGTTTAAGCGCGAGAAAATGTTCATCGCAGAGGTATGAAAAATTAAAAAGCCGCAAAATCAAACAAAGATGCAGATGATTCTTTGAGAAATTATTAAAACGGATGGTGAGTTCATTCGCCAAGCTTTCAAACCAATGATACTCGACATGCTGGATGCGAACAATAAATGGATATTAGAAAAATGAGCTGAAGTGATGATCCTTACCTTGATATCCGTATAAACGCCTTTTGCGATCAACTGATAAATGTCGTCGAGATATAGAGAAAAACAGCCTTCCCAGCGGGGTAAAATGACACGAAACTGTCACTAAACAAAACAGTAATCGAGCTAATAATTAGTATTTTTCTAATTGTCGCTAAGGAAACAGAAAGACAGAAATTTCAAACCATTATTTACGAAATGTTTTCCAGAGTACGCATACGATCAAGCGCGCTCGAGTACGCGTACAACCGATTTCCAGGCCTTTTTTCGATTTTTTTCTGTCTTTGCCTGTTTTGAGAGGATTTCGGAAAGACTACGAAGAGATCGAGAGTTTCAGTGCAGTCGAAACTGAATTAATGTTCCAGTGAGTAATGTAACGAGAAGCTGACTACACAGGGCGTAAAAGCTTGGCAGAAGAAATAAAGAAGTATTTCATAGTTTAGTCATGCGCGTGTATCAGCGATGTTTTAAAATGTGGGCAAACTGTGCACAAAACTTTCTCTCCGAGAGGTTTGACTACTGAAAGAAGTGGCAAGAAGCGCTAAAGAGATAACAGGTGCTACGATACTCACTCTAGACACACAGCAGAACATAGCAGCAAAATGAGTGCGCATGCTCCGCTACCTCACTCTAATTATTTGGGCTCTTTAGGGCTCACGGTTCTTCTATTGCAAACCTAAGCTGACGCGGGTTTTTCAGCCGAGACAACAAACTTTCTTTCGGGGGGGGTTGACTACTGAAAGAGGTGGCAAGAAGCGCTAAAACGATAACAGGCGCTACGATACTCATTCTAGACACACAGCAGAACATAGCAGCAAAATAAGTGCGCATGCTCCGCTATCTGACTCGAATTATTTGAGCTTTTTAGGGCTCACGGTTCTTCTATTGCAAACCTAAGCTGACGCGGGTTTTTCAGCCGAGACAACAAACTTTTTCTCCGGGGGTTTGCCTACTCAAAGAGATGGCCAGAAGCGCTACAGCGATAACAGGTGCTACGAACTTCTCAGCCATGTTACGGCTGCTCAACTTCAGTCACTAAATTCACACCTGTTACCAAAAACCTTTTCTCTTTGTTTGAGATATATGAGGTTTGACCACAGCTTTTCTGAAAACAATAACTTTATTTGTTTTGATTTGGGCCTATCCCCCACGAATTGAAAACAAACAATGAGAATTTTAAAAATGCTTCCATTTTGCCTCGATAGTGTTACTATGGAAATACTGTCGTTCCCATTCCTTTGCACGCGTAAATTTCTCGCGAGTTACAAGCATGCGCACTCATTTTTCCACTGTGTCCTCGCTCTATAGTCGCATTTGATTGAGAAGATAGTGTGAACTAAAAATTACATTTCTTAACATCGCCGTTTTGAAGTATTTAAACATCGATAAAAAGATTTGATTACACTCTCTCCATCTACACTCGATTTCCATCCCTATCAGTCGTGGTGTCTACTTTTTCTATAAAAAAACTTTCACACCAAGAATTGCTTATAAAATCCCTTGGCTTGCATCTATTAAACTTCCGTGAAATACAAGTATAACTTTTCTATGGCTTTACTTCTGGAGAACTGAAATTACGTTAATTTTTCTTGCTGGAAACTTTACGTTTTTCAAGGCCGATGGATCACAGACTCTGCGATAACCTGCAAAAAAATACAAAGATTTAGCACCTATACAAGCCATGTCCTACTCCTTTCCACAAGCTGGGCTACCTGTGGTACAAAGTGGGAAATGATTTATCAACTATGGGATACTAGACGTGACGTCATGACCGTCAAGATGGACGACGCTATCTTGGTTTTTAAAGAAAATTGGATTTTTTTTGAGATGCATGAAAATGTAACGAATAAATTTTCTTAAGCTTTATCAGAAATAGCTCTTGGAGACAAATGAACAGCTGAAGGAAATGAAAGCTTCTGTGGTAAAATCACTTTTTAAGACTACATTGCCTTTATGATGTCAAACAGTTAACATGTTGATCGAAGAACTTACAATGGGTTTTAATGAAAACTCGAGTAAGTAATAAGTACTTACATTCCGACAACGAGGCCAGATGCGAAAATGAACACAATGTGTGGACACAACACTAAAGAAAAAAAGAACGGATTTTTGTTAAGTTTAGTAATTTCTCTTGTGGAGAGTAACTTGTCAGGCTCATTAATAGAGCACTGCAATAGTATAGTATAGGTCATGGGTTCAACTCCCGTGCAGGCCTGAATTTTTTTCAGGCCATATTTTTACTACTGATTAAGTTAAGTGTCCATAACTGCGGAGATCACTCTCATATTCAGTTATTAATCCACGATTCGCAAATATGATATTCATATAATCTTAGTAAGAGTAACGCTCTGCACCTTTCTTGAAGATTCTATTAGGCGATGCAATAATGATGTACTGCTACACGAAAAATAGTTTTGAAGTTTCCGGCACCTTCTAGAATGTCATGTTAATGTGAGATGGGGGTTCAGTCACCGAGTGGAGAGGTTTCTGTTGTCGGCAAAGGCCGACTTCTTGAAGAAGCTACCTAGAGCTGCTGTAGTCTGCTTTCCAAGGAAGCCTGCCTACAGTCAGAGTTTCAGACAAGATTTAGAGATAGCAGTCGGTTTGACGTGAGTTTGTATCAGTGCTGACTGAAAGTTAAATCAGTGAAGGAGGCAAGTAAGTAGTCACTTCCTGGGAATAGTTACCCAGAAAAGTATAACTAAATAAATTAATTTCCTTTATAAGATAGAGCATAATATAGAGTGTCGAAAGTGATTCGAAATTGCGTTGGGTTTTGCATTACTTCACTCTGTGATTGGTCCAGAATGCCCGCGTCACTCTCTCAACCAATCAGATGCAAAACTGAAACCAATCACGACTTGGTCACCTGACTTAAGGGTATTTTCCTTCCTTCTGATTGGTTATTGTGATTACTCTGGTTTTGGTTGTACGGCACTCAATCTAAAAGCGCTCCAGTTGTGTCGTGTATTTTTTTACTGTCGGGTTTGATTACACTGTAACATATCTCCGAGTCTTCAAATAAATGATGTGAAACAATTTTTTTTAGAGTTAACCTAAAACCAACCTGAGCTGGAGGCTGGACAAACGACTTTACACTCTTTTACAGATTTCAAGTGTTCTTTCTCATAGTACGTGAAATTCTGCTTCACCTCAGCACAACTATACATTTTATTGGCCAAAGTGACGTAATCACAGAGGGTACCATTGAACTTGTCCTCGTCACATTTCTTGTCGTCGCTACCTTTTATCTTGATGCTACATGACATGGTTACTGTGATGGTCCCTCCATTGCTGCAAGATATGCAATCTGGTGACGAGTACTCAGTTCCAGACCCTATGCTGAAAGACACTGAAAAACATAATTGCCAAGTGAATATACAGAGTATTGTTAATCATAGCAGCTACTTCATAGTTCTAAGTTTGCATTCGTGTTAATTACCACGAGCCTCAGGTAAACGATAGTTCAAATATTCGAAAAGGCTGGTTGCTATGGAACGACGTGATAAACCGGCAAGTTTCCATCATCGCCTTGACAGCCTTTTTCGATAATTTTGATCACAGTAATCAAAGGGTAATTGCGTGAATTTGTACAATATCTCTATTCCTGCTGGGTACGAAGAAGCCTGTTTTTTTTAGAGGTTGGATCAGCCTATTGACGTTTCGAGATTGGATTTCATATTAATATGCGAAGGCAAAAGCGGGAAAGGTTTAATTTAGTTTCCCGCGGTCGAGTGCAGATATGGATCCCTTCGAACTTCGAAGGGTTGAATTGCTTCATTCTCCTTCTACAGATAAGCCAAGGGAAAGGTTTATCTTAAATTTGAAGAAATGTGGCTTAAGGGTCAGCGAGTTTTCTGAAGTAGCCTGTTAGTGGCACATTTTCCAAGCGAGTTTTGTACGGTCCAGCTGTCGGATGTGAAAAATGGCGGAAGCTTGGATGGCCGATATGTTCAGAACAACAGTGGCCATCGCCTCTCTATTTGGAGCTGTTTCTGCCATCTTCCGGCAGAAATTCAAAGAAGGAGAAGTGATGAAATATCTTTGGTTGATCGACTAAATAAATTCGCTTAAAATCAAAACGGAGACTAGCAAGGCTCGACCAGCCATAACTTTCGCGAGGAGATGAAAGCTGCTCGTGATGCCTCCTCAGTTATTCGAATTGAAAACGATCGACTAAAGGCCGACCTCAATCAAGCGCCGAGTCAGCTAGAATCCCAATCAGAAGAAATAAAAAAACTCAGCTAAGTAAGACCAGCATCAGAGTTAAAATTAAGGAGAAGGAGGAGAAAGACGCCGGGGATGTGTGGACATCGATCAGATGTAATCGCAGATCAGGTGCACAGTCCCGAGGTGGGGCGAATGCTTAGCGACATCGCTGAGAAAATTAGAATTAACCGCAGCAGCCTACTGCAGGCGTTGGAAACAATGCTGGGGGACAGTAACTCTCAGTTTTGGCAATCTCTCAGCCTGGACCCTGCTGTTTTTCAAACTGCAGTCGAGGATCTTGGACCAAGCTTGGCAAAGGTTACTTAGCATTTCCAAGCTAGGACGAACCGGCGTAAGTCTTAACGTTTATATTTTTATTAAGACTGGAAAAAGGGTATTTGCTGTCTTATGTTTTGTTTTGAATGTTGATTTTGTGGTGTATCAGAACTCATTTCTGCTTGGCAGGAGAATTACATAATACCGTTAAATTTCATTAAAAATCCAACAAAGTGGCTGAGTTTGATTTTGCAGCATATAAGTCTTCTATGATCACTTTTTATAGCTACATTAAGAAAAATTTCCGGTTTGTTTCCTTGATAGGGTCTTGACAGTATCATAATTTATTCTATTTCTATTTTTCTACGATAAAAGATATAAATCGCCAGAGGGATGCCATTGAGAAAACTGGAATAGTGGTTGATGGAAGATGCTTTCAAGTTAAATTTCCAGGTTATTTATGTCTGCCAATCTTGACTTTTTATCTTTTTTTAATCTTATTTTTTTTATTTTTGCAATGTTTTTATGTTTCATGTCTAGCCATGTTATAGTATTATTGAATCCATTTTATGCTTGGCAGTGTTAGAAAATATCTGGGAAAGTGGTGTTCAATAGAAAGTCTACCATTTGAGATCCGGTGGTGTAGCTATTTAAACTTCAACTTGACATTATCTTCTTGTCTTTTTTCGTGACAGTTACTTTTGACTACAAAGCACTGATAATGCCACTCAAGCAAAAAGGTGGTGATGCCTACAAATATATCAATGAACTTTGCAAGCGAGGATTGGAAACAGAGTGCTGTGTATTCTGCAAAGTTATTAAGGAAGGTTATACCTGCAATTGCTAAATGACGTGCATTATAGCAGAATTCTACGATAACTCACAACATATTCAGGTTACAGGTATTTGTGATGCAATTTATTTGTAATCAATTAGTGAGAGCTTTCTTGGCTTTCTTGACTTTATGGAAAGGCAGAAACCTGTCCATGAAAAGGAACATATTTTATCTGTGGTGAACAGTGATTATCTATCTACAAACAGAAGTGAACATGATATGACTTTAGCTCAGTCAATTCATTATTAGGTTATACATGCACTTTTTTCGAAAGAAGTGCCTGTCCTGATGTTCCTCGTGGCGAAGACTGTGCTGAGTGTTTCCCAAAGAGCAAAGCAAATATTGCGGGGTAGGTACAACACTGCATTTCTGTATTGACATGCATAAAAAAAGTACAGCTTGCGGCATGATACTTCACTTTCTATTGGAACACGTCTTTAAATCTCACTTTAGGATACTTAGTTTGACGGACAGTTACCAGCAGAAATATGGTAGGTTTGGAATACAAAGGTGGAAACTGAATTCACTCTTCTTTTTCTGTCTGTTTCAAATGGAAGGGGTTAAGAGAGTTCTCCATTTCTATTAATCCTCTTTTTTTTGGCAAATTTGTTTCAGTTTTACTTCTTTTGTGCTTGTGCGTCCTGGTATCAGTATTATTTCACTGTTTTATTTCTATTTTCATCTCATTCAAAGAATTTTAAAACGTCCGCGTCGACAAATACGAATTCAAAATTCCTTGTGGCACATATCCCGCGAGAGAATGGGGCCAGACATTATCCAAGCCGGGATTTCTCTTATATTAGCTATATAATTAATAAGTAAGAGGAATAAACTTTTAAGAATACAAAAGTGTCTCTTACCATAACGCATGGTGGACGTGGAGGATGATATTGTGACAGGCGCCTTGGTTGTTGAATAAGTTGTTAGGATTGATACTTCAGTGGCTGCAGTGGCCACATTCGTTGAGGCTGATTCTACTACGGCTGTAGTGGACGCTTTCGTTGAGTTTGACTCTACTGTGGCTGCTATGGACGCTTTCGTTGAGGTTGATACTACTGTGGCTGTGGCGGCCGCACTCGTGACCGTGGCTGTAGTGGACGCTTTCGTTGGGGTTGATACCGATGTGTCTACTGTGGCTGAAGCGGACACCTTTGTTGAGGTTAATACTACTATGGCTGTAGCGGCCGCATTCGTTGAGGTTGATTCTACTGTGGCTGTAGTGGACGCTTTCGTTGGGGTTGATACTAATGTGTCTACTGTGGCTGAGGTGGACACTTTCGTTGAGGTTGATAACATTGTGGCTAAAGCGGTCACTTTTGTTGTCACCGTCATTGGTGTTGTTGTTGATGCGTTTTCCTTTGGTGCCGTCGATGAATTCGCCGCCAACGTCGAAGACGTGTTTACTGATGTAACGTGAGAATGAGCATTTGCATACAACGGTTGCATGCAACATATTAAAAATAATGCAAACCTTAGGCGACGAGGGAGTGTCATCTGTCAAAGCGAAAGCAAAAAGTATTGCAATTAACTCATGGTAAAATACACAAAGAGCAAAATTCAATATGTGGTGACCAAGAGGAAAATGTTTGCGAGTAGATGACAAAAATGACAATGACAATAACTTTATTTGAATGTAAGATAGCATATACATGCTAATATCTCCAAGTTAAATGATCTAAATTTAAAATATTACTACTATGAGTATTACTACTGTGAGTAGGAAGTTGTGAATTGTACCATCACTGAAAGAAATGCAAGGGTCTGTCAGTGAATTCGACAGATGAAAAAAATTTTGGTAACGTCCTCACGTCAGTCTAAAATTTAAGGAAAATTTGTTATGCGTAACAAGACTACAAAAACTGCCAAGGGCACACGCACTTAAGGCAACACGGACTTAAGGCAACAAAAAAAAAGAATATTAATCATATCACGCCATCAGGCAAATTTGAAAAAATGCAGAAAAGAATCAAACTTTATGATATGTATACACACACACACACACACACACACACATATATATATATATATATATATATCTGCTCTGCTTCAACGTATTGAGCACTGTTCCACGCGAAAATCGACTTGCAGACTTCCTATATATATATATATAAA